GATTTGATATCTTGGAACCAGGCTAAAATCAGATAATGCGTAAACACGTTTCATCTATAAGAAGCAAAGGTAAACCTAAATGGGAACTGTTTCACATTGATCAAAACGCTTTGGTGTTGCATTGTATTTTAAAACAACATCTAAATATTTCAATCTATCCGTTTGTTTACTTTGAGAAACTATGATATAAGTTTGTTTTGTATTAATTTAAATGTATATAGTTTAATGTTTTGTATTTTGTATTTGGATAGTGTTGTGCGGTTTCAGAGACTTAAATAGCCGCCTTTAATATATTATTCAAAGCGATGTCACACGTGTGAACTTTTGTTTGTTTTTGTTAGATTTGGTAACGGGTCTGATGCCTTTTATGACTTATACATGTATTCTACAATTATGTTCAAATTGGATTTTTGATTGTTGGTCATTTACTTATTTAACCTTTAGATATCGTTTAATTTGCATAAAATCAATAATGTTCAAGGCATATGATACTAGTAAACCATTACGGGCGTGTTTGCTCTGTCTATATATTAATAAGATACATGTTGTTGGATGCCTGGCACAATACGACATTAACTCAAGGGTACTCGTCATGTCACAGTATAGAACTAGTACTACTAGTTTGACTTTATTAAATGTTCGTGTCGTTATTTTTCCCCTTTAATTTCTGCACAGATCTAAACAGACATTCCTCTACGTTGCAATGTTTTGGTTATTCTTAAAGTATGCAGTGCACAGCTGACCATTCTTTCGAAGCATTTTTACGCTTGCGTAAAACATCGCTTGTGTTACATTTTTTGCAACGCTCTTAATTGGTCAGATATGCAAATAAACCGACACATTTATGTTAATATCGTATACAAAGTTTAAACATTTAACTTGTTTTGAAAAAAATAAAGATAAAGAGATACATGTTATGTTTTTGTTATGATAAATTCCTTTCACTCCCCTCTGTACCTTTATACTTTTATCACCTTTTTTCATAATATACGATTTTTTCTATTCTCAAACACTTCAGCCCCCAAGTTATGTGGAACTAAATTGTAAAAAAGCAATGACTTAAGTCATAATCTTTGAAAGTGAAGGGTTAGGTTTTTAATTCATATTTTGTTTTTTAATTCACAGACACTTCAAAGTATTGCATTGTGTACAATCGAATCAGAACTTTTCATCCTCTTTAATAAAATAAATTATTGCTAAAGCAGACTTATCCTTATTATCATTGTTTTTATTTTACGGATCTCCTACAAAACCTGTTAGCATCTCATGTTATTGCTATGTCTTTTGCAATAATAAACATTTACAAGTAATAGCTGTTCCAGTCAGTTCAATATTTCATATCGTAATTCAAGATGAAACTTTAAAAAAATGGATTCTTTTCAAATACTACCCTAATGTCAATATTTCTGTTTTTAAAGGAAGGTTAAGGTCATTCTTTATTCAATAGGAAAGGTGTTTTTAATAGAAAAATTGACCTGGCCGAGTAATAAATGCGAAATGCGTTATGCGTTATCTTGTGATCTAAAACTAAGTTATTATCTATTTGTACAGATGAGGGTCTATAAATGTAGGAAGTTACGTATATTTGATTGTGCTGGCGTGTCTAAAAATGCTAAGGAAGGGTTTCTCATAGATGATTTACTGTTCTTGATCAAAGGAAATATCAGGGAAGGATACGAGGCAAGTGCCATAACATTCGAATAACGAAACAAAGTATATAAGTCACAGTCCATTCGGAAATGCATCTACAATAACAAAGATTTCGTCTGAACTGCAAATTGTGTATACTAGATAATAAACACTCAATTGTGACGTTCAATTAAAATGTATTTTGTTTAGTAAACAAACTTTTGTGCCGGTTGTGTATTTATTGCCGGCTAGATCCAGCAAGTCCATGCATTTCCCTATATGGACTACCTTGGCTAATAAACAGAGACAATCCACCATCATTTTATAATTGCTATTTTTGTTTATAACACCTAAACAGCGGCTTAGTTATTAATCTAATTAAAGATATTTTTAATCAGTTAATGTATTTCTATATTTGTTTGAAATATTCTTCACCATTTGAATTTCAATTGATAAATTGCCTAAAAAACTGAACCTTTTGAATTTTACAGTTTGATCCAGAACAGTCTATAAAACAAAACGTTGAAGGAGGCAAACGCTTTTTTAATGCCAAGCCGAGTTTGGATGATCAAATGCATTGCGTTGTTTTTATTGTTGATTCAACATCAATCAATGCAACTATGCCAAAAGTATTGCAAGAAAAAATTGGAATGCTGCAAGCTAAACTTTGTGAACAGCGTAAGGTTGTCTTTTACAAAATCGATACTTATTAAATTTATAAAGATTACATATGTTGCAATTTATAATAATTGTTGTTTTCTTAATTAAGAAAATGTAGACGACAACCAAAAAACCTTATAAATACAGCTAAAGATAAATACTTTTGTCTTTAAATCCTGAATTAATTTTCAAGATCAGGTTGTATGTTTTTAAAGCTAGATACCTTTCCGATATATGTCTAAGTTCATAATTGTAAAACACAGTACGTTCAATAACGACAAGGTACAGATCAGGGGATTGCATAGGTCCGGGAATAAATTAACACTAATATATCACCGAATGTAATTTTAAAGAAAAACAAAACAGAACGAATATTTCAAGCATCTGATTTACCCTAGTTCTCGCAGTGTGCTTTCGTTTAATCACAGAGAGACGAAAAGTTTTTTTGTTTAATAAAATATATGACTTTTATGTTGTTAAGATATTCCCAGGATCTTGATCTTGACAAAAGTTGATAAACTATGTGGTGAAGTAGCTATCGACATAAAAAATATGTTTTGGAGCAAAACAGTTCAACAAACCGTGAAAAAAGCATCTGAGCTCTTTGGGATCAAAGAGGCATCCATTCATCCAGTCGAAAATTATGTGGATGACTTTTACATACAAAATAAGATATCTATCCCGCTTTTAATTGCCCTAAGGCAGGCGAAGCACTATGCAAAAGATAGAATAGAATATGTTCTACAGCACCAGGAGGGAAAATGAGAAACAGATTTCATGAACTAATTAAATAGTTTATTAATTACTAAAAAGTTAAAAACTGCTTGTGGAATCATAGCTTGGTTTGGTTTTATTAAGTTTTTGCAATTGAATTTATAAACTGTTATACATTTAGATATCAATGCTCTTGACAAATTATCATCATTATGAGTACATGCAGGAACAGATCAGTTTGCTTCAAAGAGAGAACGGAATGTAACATTCCATTCTGTACAATTCTTTTAATAGACGCTGCGTGTATCTAGAAGATATGCATTTGTCCATACAGCAATGGGGGAAATTTTAGACTTGATTTTGTGTATTTTTTGTTTGTTTTAACAACATCACACTGTTTTTAAATTTTCTAATAAAAATAGCTTTTCTGATGTACAACATATCACAGAGCTTTAAGGAATTAGAATAATCCTTTAACTGAAGTGATAGTGCCATGTTTGAATATCATATTCTTTTAAGCATGATTATCTTATTTTATCTACATAATTAATAATGTGCCAATGAGCCAGTCTATAGTCGATTGTTCTAAAACTTAACCGTTGAGAGAGGTAACGAATGAGACAGTGTCACTAACTTTTGCTCCGCCTCTGTTAAAGTTCGACTCCGCCTTAAATTGTCGCCAAATTTAATATGTTGCTCCGTATGCTAGCTGACGGGGTGGAAGGAAACTAGGACAACTTGATCAATATCACTAGTCAAATCATTAAATTACAAGTTACAGAGACTAAACCACACCCATTATCAGAGAGGCGGTTCCCCTCAACTGTTAAAAAAGTACCAAAACTCTTCAAACTGGTTACGCTATGGCCAGTAAGGGGAGATCACTGCAGAACAGTTCGTCCTCAAAATCATTTAAAGTTTATGCAAGTCGTTCCAATATTTATATGGACATATTCTCGGCACATATAGATTTAAATTTTATTGATATATATTTTTATTATTCCTAAATATATAAGATGGTTGATATTAATATTGTAGATCTTGCCTTATTCTTCTAGTGTATAAAATAGACATTGTCTTGTAAGATATCATAAATACAGCAAATTCTCTTATCATACAAAGTATTCCAAAAATACTTTTATTCCAAATAGTAATGTTATGATTGTAGTATAAAGGTAAGTTACAAATGTCTTCTTTATCAAATTTCTGATGCTCAATAAACAATGAAGGCATTTAAAAAGTGTTTCCATAATTCATTATTTTTTTAAAGATTTTGACATTTTCTCGACGTAATTTCAGTCTTTACTCTCTTCAGGTAGCTGAATCCTCGCTCACAATCTGAAATTAATAAATGAAAGTAATCATTTATGTTAACACAACCTCATGCCTTTATTTTATTTTGTTTGTTTGCTATGAATTTTTAAAAATTTAAACTTTCTAGCCTGTTTAAACTTAACTTAAAAAATTTATATTAGAAATGTTGGAAAAACTTTTAGCAAAGTGTTACACATCTGTAACTGTCATTGGAATTTCATAAATGTCCAAAAATAAATCAATTTAATAATAATTACCTGCAGTAGAGGTTGGGAGGAGGAGACCCAAGGTGGCAATTCTGTAAAAAGCTGGATGACTGGTTAAAAGGTTGCCAGTAATCCAGATCATGGTCTGGTCGGCTGACTGATCAGTTCCCTCTAGACTGGCACGTACCTGGTGCCAGTTGCTGCGGCACTGCTCCATATTTACACCAAAGTGCCTACAGCAAATGCCCCAAACTTCTCTAAGGGAGGTAGATCAGGGAACCTGTCCTCAAGATTTTGTAGAAGGTTGTCCAGGAATGACAGGTAGATCTGGAAAATATTAGGAACAAACACATTATAGAAAAACTATTTTTAATGAAAATTTTATAAACAATTGATATTGAGCCTGTATAGTTTGACAGTTTTTATTGATGGTTATTTTATTTATCTTTATCAAATGATACTTGCAATTTACAACATTATCTAAGTTGTGAATCCCTTTCTCACTCACCTTTTCATGAAATGCTGTCAGATGTTCCTCGGAAGGAGACTTTTTTCAGAATCCATCGTCAATAAGCTGGGTAACCCTGACAGGAGCGTCTTTGTAATTGTCAGCCGACTGGGATTTCATTCCTTGGATGATGGAGATAGTTACATTGACAAGAGGCTTAATTGTCACACATACAGCGTCCCTCTTCTGAAACAATAAGATATTAAATTAATCATCCATAGCAAGATTCTGAATTTATACTTACTAATAAAATACGAAGAATGCATTGCTCCAAATTCCAATTGATACACATGTTTAAGTGATTGTTTAGAAAAATGAACTGCATTTACATGAAATTAATACAACTGGTACTAAATCAGGTTCATCTGTATTTAAAATAACTAGTACTTTTAAAGAATAGACAGTTTATCAGATATGCAATGTTAAAAATAATTTGAAATCTTTGTCTTTTAACAGGGTATATCTTTAGAATGAGAATGATAATCAGTACCTGCATGGCACAAGTCAATGCTGTCAGATGGGGTAAAACATCACACATCATGTGAATTGCCAGAACGAAGCGGTAGTCCTGTGTAAAAACAGACAGTCCGGCGGCCCTGGCGTCATTGCGTTCCTCGGCTTCACGCTCAAGGCTAGTGTAAATGGATGGCAGGCACATCCGTAGAGTTGTAGTGGCCTTGTCATGAGACAACTATCTGACAACTTTTGCCTCCACTAACTTCAACTTGGGGCCCTGGTGAAGTTCCTGTTAATAAAATTTGCATTTTTAAAATTGTTATACCTCAAGATTTCTTAATTAAATTTTTTTCATTGGTACTTGTAGTAGAATTACTTTGAATTTGATTTTTACATCTGGAAAACAAGTAAACTCATGCTAGTTTCCTAGAAAATAATCATAATAAGGCACTATGTTAAATTTCCTTGCAAGAGACCACCCTGAATCAGTACGCAACTAAAATGAACAAAAATGTTGCATGCCTTCAAAGATAATGTTTGAATATTTAGAGTCTAACCTGAATAGCTTTCAATCCGCTGGTGCGGACAGCACTCTTCTCATAAAAACGATGAAGATCACCAATAATGTCTTTGAACAACTTCTGTAGATAAGGCACTGCTTTGGCTGCCTGTCCAACAGCTAAAGCCAGTCTGTGGGCTACACAGTGGTTGTTGACTAGGTGAGGGACTCTTCAGCTCAATTGGGCAGCCACACCATTCTGTCTACTGACCATCACCATCGCACCATCACTTCCCAAGGCACACATCTTTTCAAATTGGAGACCCAGGTCTTCTGTTAGGAACGTCACTCGTGTCTCAGTGATAGTATCAGCTTTCCCGTCAGGGATAGGAGGATCCCTATAAAGATGTCTTGCAACCCCACCCTTTTAGATTTTTGAAACTTTCATACAAACTTACTTTTTTTTATGTTCAACTTGGAAAGAATTTCAAAAAACGGATGATCTTTTTGCATTCTGTAGACTTTTTAAACTTTTAAATTTTTTTTCGTTTTATTTCAAATTTTTTTTCTGTATAAAATTGAAAAATTGTCCAATTAAATTTAAATTTTAATTTCTCTAAAAACCCAATCAAAGGGGGCCTGAACAGTGGGTTTGCATTACAAAGCTTTCCCTAAAAAGGGGCCCAAAGGGCTGCAAAATTTATTTTTTTTTTTTTTTTGGGATTTTAGTTTTTTTTTTTTTTATTTATGATGTAAAAAAATCTCTCGCTCAAACATATGTCGGGATTACATTACTAATGGAGTACCATGGTGATACCTTTTTATCATCCCGGATCGATTGTCGGATAAGGTTACCCATTGTGAGGACAGCTTCTTGTATGAACCTCTGAGATTCTCCCTTGTTATTTTCGCCCTGGTGTAGATTATTCAAAATGTTGAGCCCCTGAAGTTTTCCTGAAAAAAAAGCAATGTTGCAATAAGAAAACATAATGATTGTTAATGTGACTGTGTCAGGAACTTTTATGCCTGCCGTTCATTTCAAGCCATATGAGTTTATCCAAACTTATTTTTATAGCTCATTATCTGAGCATATTTGATACAAACATAAGCCCGATATTTTCTGCAATAATAAGTTAAGTAACATAAAAAACACAATATTGAAAATATTACAGGCTAAAATTGATATAGCATGTTCATATACAGTAATGCTTATTAAAGCTTTATTATGAACTATGCAACTATTTTACTTACATAGTTCATTTAGCGGCAAGTAGTTCGTGGTGTGAGGCATCTCCCTTTTCACCAGCCAGTAGAGGTTTCGGAAGGCGGAGCCACGAGCCTTGGTGTGTAGACTGTTGGCCTCTTCTACTGCAGCTTCAACGTTGGTGCTTGGAGCAAGTCTACCCTTGCCTCATCGTGTGAGTCTGAGCGTCAAAGTATGCAAAGGGCATCCTTTACCAGCCACGTACATGGCTTTTCAACCCATGTGACATTTCCAAAGGCTGCTTTCTTCGGTCTTTTCTGATGTCGTATGCACAGGGTACACATCATACATGTAAAGTATCAATATAAAATAAGGTCAATGTCAAGCTATGGTCTCCTTTAAAAGAAACAGTTGACAAAATATTTTTACTCTTTTTTTCAATTAAAAAAGAAATTGACCAATGCGCTGTCAATACCAATCCCCTGTCACTAAGTGGGATTGTTGATGTAAGTTTTTGTTTTTGTTTTCATTTAGTTGCAAGTTGACAATGAACAGTCGTAAATATTTTCAATGTTAAAGTAGACATCAACCAAATTTATTTCTGTATATCTGTGCAGTTTAATCCAAGTGAAATATGATTATCATGTATATATTAAAAAGCAAAATAATCCTGATAACGTGAGAGAGTTATTTTTCAGGGTAGTAAGATTTACCCAATACTTCTAAAATATTCTAATCTGCAAACAAAAAGCTTGTAACTCTTACCATCTTCATCTTCTTTAACCCACGGAGAATCATTTTGCCACTTAGGATCAAACCCAGACAGTCTTTGTTTCTTTGCACGTTGTACAGTTTCACTTGAACTTGTCATTTGGTCATTATCAGAATTTGAGACAGTTTCAACGACATTGCTCATTAAAAAACTCTTAATTGATAGTGAACTAGGCGCTGGCCTCTTTCTTCCCTTATTCATGTTGTTTTTGAAATCTTAAGTCTACAGTACTGATTAGACGTAACGATCGTAAGAAAGTGAAAGATGAAATTGAACATTAAAGGAATAGGAATGGATGGATTGATGTCTGTCTAATATAAATATTCATCATTTAAAAAGAGGTACCATGACAGTTTTTCTGTTGACATCAACCCTTTAAGTGAGAAATTAGTGTTTTAGGACATTATTTTTTACCTGAGAAATAAGTTCATGGGCGCCACCATTTTGGCGTTCTGTCACTCTCGCGAGACAGACGAGACCGAGATTGTGACGTGTTACACCCACTTCCGGTATAGGTGTACACGCTGGTACAACTGAAATATATCTTGATGAAGAACTTATTAATCGTATTGCCCACACTATATATAATAATTATGAAAACATCATATGGAGCTGAATTGCTTTAATTAATCAATTGAAGACGCCGTGACATTAATTATCATTTGTCCGATGTTCAAACTTGCTGATGATCCCACCACATGGTTTAAGCAATGACTGCTTAATTTTCAAAGATAAACCATCAATTTAATTTAGGTATTATGAGAAACTTCTTCAAATTGACGATATATCCTTTTATTTTGTACTTAATTTTCGCTAGACAAGCTGTCCGAATAGGGTACATCGCCGGTATATTTTGTACTTAATTTTCGCTAGACAAGCTGTCCGAATAGGGTACATCGCCGGTCATGTATTTTTTTGTTCAGCGTAAAATATCAACTATATATATATAAATCCAATATGCAGAGATCTGCTAAGGACGCGATTTTCCGCCATTGACGCTAAAAATGAGAATGGCGCAGGAAAATCGGCAGCCAGACTAATATAGTATGAAAACAAAACTGTCCGTTAGGTTATTTAGGCCATATATGCACCCAGTCAAAACTGGTACCAACAGCAACAGGTTGTCCATTCCCCTGTAATTACGCATATTATCGGGTTTATCCAGTTCCCTATAGCTTGTTTCCACGTTATCTACTTACTCGATCCCTTTCCCACACAGATACGCATTTCTACTACCGTAAATTTAATCCATTAAAACAAAACATCATAAATCTACTTAATATTTAAAATGATTATTGGTAACTGAAAAAAAATGTGTTGCTATTTTATGAAATGGTGTAATTAACAGTATAACTTGACAGGTGCGGAACTAAATTTCCCCTAAGGTCATTCAGTTCACTGATGAAGCGTAAAAAAATAGATGTCTGTTTCGTCATTAGAATATTTGACAAGGGTGATTAACCAATCAGGGCAACATTGTGATCAAAAGTTCTGTCGGCACAGAGGCATACAAGGAGCAATAAAAATCGTCAGTACACAGTGTGACAGGAACATTTGGTGCAAATTAGGAACAATTAAAATGGATAATGCACAGTATTAGACATAAGAAGTAAGAACCAGCAACTGTGTGAATAAATTAGGCAAATTAGATATTTGAGCAGCCAATAAAAATGTTTTGCCTGCAGTTAATATTAGGCTACGATTACGATGTAAATAAATACCACTCAGCATCATACGTTGACAGACATGTTAACAATTTACTTTTCAAAAGAGTTGCTTATATTTTTGAAATGTGTACATCAATTATAAATATGTTCACACCTTTTAATTTGAAAGTCAAAATCAAACTGCAAAAATTTAAATAATAACATGTGTATTTATTAAATCTGTGAAATATTGTTTAATTACATTAAGATGAAACTTTAATGAACATAGCATTGTTTGGAGTAACGGGCATCACTGGCCTGAAGTGATGCGACCGGTAGACGTTGATTTTTTATTTGTTTCTTTATTTTTTTTTTATTTTTTTTATATTGTTACGTATTTTTGAACCAAAAAAAAATCTTCTCTACACCTCCTGTGAAAATTAATTTGTCTGGTCAATACTTTATTATATTAATATTTCGCTACGATTCTACTAGATTTATCATAAATCTAAAGATGTGGGGAATTGACATCACGCGCACCTGTTTTTATACGGCCAATACACAAACATGGCCGCGCCTACTGATTTGTAGAAATCGGTGATTTAGAGATTTAAATTTTGTAATAATTCGTTTAATATTATTATTTGGCGGCAGAAAATTTGCAGATTTATTATTTATAGTATTCTTTTTCTGAAATCAAGTTTTTATTCTAACCTTGTCTTTCCCTTTAAACTTATATCAAGACAATTAACCCATTCATCCCTAAATATCAAACTGTTATATCACATGTCAATTAATGCCAGTTATACTATCAAAACAAGAAAAGTTATTACACCTACCTGAAACATGTAAATATCACACATGCACACAAATTGACCAATCTAATACACTGAAATTGCAATCCCAAAAGGCCCCAAACCTCATCAACATCGATACGGGTTCTGTGACGTAACAGCCAAGGTTTCAGTATTGGGGTTGTGAACCCCCGGGGTAATTATCTACCGGACTTGTTATGGCTTTTTTTTTTGGCTAATTGGGGGAAATTATAGACACAAAAGAAAGGAATATCGGTCATTTTTTAAAGCGCTACGATAATTTTAAGCGCATCGGGATTTCTTGTTCTGAAAATTTAGCGCATCG